TATTAGGTGATTCGGAAAGTATTGTCGTATTTTTGTATAACATTTTTCATTTTTTCCTCAAAAATTTTTGGTTAATGTTTTTGAAGTTTTTTCAACGCAGATTGTTTTTGTGATTATCAGACTTTAATTTGGTACCAAAATTTTATCAATTTCAACACCCAAAATTCCGCTAGGGGCGCTGAAAGTGACCCTTGTCAAAATCAAAATTTTGACGTTTTTTGTTTTCGGCCCGCTGTGTCCGCAACAAAATTTTTCCAAAACTTTTGACCACTAAATGATAATCTCTCATGTCTTGGGACTTATCAAAAGTGGTTGTCGCAATCCTGCCGCAATGCGATCATTCCCGAAATCGGTCCGATTTCCGTTCGGAATAAGAATGGTTGTTGTGCCTTTTGTCCTATACCAATGTGATTGACGATAAAATTTTTTTCAAATCTTGAATTCAGATTAATTCAAGAGTTTTTCAAACCGAAAAAACCAACAAAAAATTCGGGTTGAGAAAAAAAATTCGCAATTTTCTATGGTTGACAATTTGCAGTTACACAAGAGCTAGACAGCCATGCAATGCATACGACACGACATCCAGACAAGATGCATTTTTTGCTTGTCGTCTGAAAGTCGTGTCGTTTCGTGTGCATAGCAGTCTGTGCGCTTGCTGATCATGGAGAATTGTGAATTTTTTTTCTCAACAAGATTGTTGGACGACTTTTGACCACTAAATGATAATCTTTCATGTCTTAGGACTTATCGAAAGTGGTTTTCAAAATCTTGCCGCAATGCGATCATTCCCGAAATCGGTCGGATTTCGGGTCTGAATACGAATGGTTTTTGTGCTTTTTGCCCTATACCATTGTGATTGACGATAAAATTTTTTTCAAATCTTGAATTCAGATTAATTCAAGAGTTTTTTTAACCGAAAAAACCAACAAAAAATTTGGGTTGAGAAAAATTATCGATTCCCGATGAGCGACATTCAGGCGTCATGCATTTTCGGCTATGGCATTCATTTCAAACTTTTTTAAAAATCTGCAAAATTGGTTATGACCTGATGACTAAAATGAGTTTCCATTCAGCTTGAACACTTTATTCATCATCGGTTATGACCTGATGACTAAAATGAGTTTCAATTCAGCTTGAACACTTTATTCATCATCGGTTATTCATCAGTTACTCAGCCTCGTTTCATACCACTTTGATGGAGCCCAAAAAATGGCATATAAACCATGATTGGTTTTCTCAATCGCTATCGTTTTTTTTGTTGATTTTTTTCGTGCTTCAAGAAATTAAAAAATCAAAGTTAAATTTACGCGAAAACATGGAATCGGCAACACCTTCACCAGAACAACTTCGTTTCTTGATGCTATACTGGTTTCGGGTTCATGGAAACGCAACTAGGGCAACATCCGAAATCAATGATGTCTTTCCAGGCGCCGTAACCATCCGTACTTGTCAACGGTGGTTTCAACGATTCAAGAGTGGTGATCTCAGTCTTGAAGATAAACCGAGAACTGGAAGGCCTCAAGAGGTCAGTAATGACGATTTATTGGAAGTCGTGGAAGAAAATCCACGAGTCACTACTGATGAATTGGCGATAATGTTTGATTGTTCGAATTCGACAATATTCGAACATCTTAAGTCGTTGGGCAAAAAATGCAAAGCTGGTCGGTGGGTCCCACACACTTTGACGGCAAACAATCGTACCCAGCGCTCATCGNTTTCAATGCTTTATTGGTTTCGGGCACATGGCAACGCAACAAGGGCAACACTCGAAATCAATAAAGCTTATCCCAGACGTTGTGACATCTCGAACCTGTCAACGATGGTTCAAGCGATTCAGAGAAGGTGATTTCAGTCTTGAAGATAAACCGAGATCTGGAAGACCTCAAGAGGTTAGTAATGACGAATTATTGAAAGTTGTGGAAGAAAATCCACGAGTAACTACTGAAGAATTGGCGATAATGTTTGATTGTTCGAATTCGACAATATTCGAACATCTTAAGTCGTTGGGCAAAAAATGCAAAGCTGGTCGGTGGGTCCCACACACTTTGACGGCAAACAATCGTACCCAGCGCTTGTCGATCTGCACTTCTTTGCTGCTTAAACAAAGAAGGGAACCGTTTTTTGATCGTTTGGTAACTGGTGATGAAAAATGGGTTCTTTATGATAACGTTACCATGCGTAAGCAATGGCTTAGTCCAGGGCAATCACCGGCTCCAACAGCCAGGAGAGAACTTCATCCAAGGAAAGTATTGCTCTCGGTTTGGTGGGATATTCGAGGTGTGATACACCATGAACTTCTTGAGCCTGGTCGAACGATCACTGCCGAGGTTTATTGTGAACAGTTGGACCGGCTGAAATCGGCAATCGAGCAGAAAAGACCAGCACTTGCTAATCGTAGAGGCATCTTATTTCATCACGATAACGCCCGTCCTCATACTGCAAGAATCACTCTGAACAAATTGTCAGAGTTTGGATGGGAATTGCTACCTCAGCCGCCGTATAGTCCAGATATTGCACCATCGGACTATCATTTGTTCAGGTCAATGGCACATTACCTGAGTGGCAAAAAATTTGCCAACACCCAACAGGTGGACGAGTTCCTGCGTCTGTTTTTCGAAGGAAAAGGTGAAGAATTTTACAGACGAGGAATCGAAAAACTCTCGGAGCGATGGGAGAAGGTTGTGGACAACCAGGGAGATTATTTCGAAGATTGAATGGTAAAAAATTCATGTTTCTTAACCACAATAACTCATTCTTTTATCCACAGCCCTTGGGCTTCGTCTCTCGTCCGGCCAATTTTTTGCCACTCAGGTTATGTGCCATTGACCTGAACAAATGGTAGTCCGATGGTGCAATCTGGACTATCGGCTGCTGAGGTAACAGTTCTCATCCACACTCTGACAATTTGTTCAGAGTGATTCTTGCAGTATGGAGATGGGTCTTGTCGCAGTGAAATACGGTGCCTTTACGATTAGCAAGTGCTGGTCTTTTCTGGTCGATTGCTGATTTCAGCAGGTCCAACTGTTCCCAATAAACCTCGGCAGTGATCGTTCGACCAGGTTCAAGAATTTCATGGTGTATCACACCTCGAATATCCCACCAAACCGAGAGCAATACTTTTCTTGGATGAAGTTCTCTCCTGGCTGTTGGAGCCGGTGATTGCCCAGGACTAAGCCATTTCTTTCGCATGGTAACGTTATCATGAAGAATCCATGTTTCATCGCCAGTTACCAAACGATCAAGAAACGATTTTCTTCTTTGTTTAAGCAGCAAAGAAGTGCAGATCGATGAGCGCTGGGTACGATTGTTTGCGTCAAAGTGTGTGGGACACACTGACCAGATTTGCTTTTTTGTCCAACGATCGAAGATGTTTGAATATTGTCGAATTCGAACAATCAAACATTATCGCCAATTCATCAGTAGTGACTTATGGATTTTCGTCCACGACTTCCAATAAATCGTCATTACTGATCTCTTGAGGCCTTTCAGGTCTCAGTTTGCCTTCAAGACTGAGATCACCACTCTTGAATCGCTGAAACCACCGTTGACAAGTACGGATGGTTATGGCGTCTGCATAGACTTCATTGATTTTGGTTGTTGCCTTTGTTGCGTTGATCATAAACCCGAAACCAGTAAATCATTGAAAATCTTGAAGTTGTTCTGGTGTTGTAGTGTTTGCCATTTTTTGTTGTTTTTCATTTTTTTTTTGTTTATCATTTTTTTTGTTCATTTTGTTTTGTTTTTTCAATAAACTTTTTTTTGAAAGTGATTCTATAGATCTTGTCTGGATGTCGTGTCGTGTCGTGTCGTATGCATTGCATGGCTGTCTATGCTCTTGTGTAACTGCGAATCGTCAACCATAGAGAATTGTGAATTTTTTCTCAATCCGAATTTTTTGTTGGTTTTTTCGGTTAAAAAAACTCTTGAATTAATCTGAATTCAAGATTTGAAAAAAATTTTATCGTCAATCACAATGGTATAGGGCAAAAAGAACAAAAACCATTCGTATTCAGACCCGAAATCCGACCGATTTCGGGAATGATCGCATTGCGGCAAGATTTTGAAAACCACTTTCGATAAGTCCTAAGACATGAAAGATTATCATTTAGTGGTCAAAAGTCGTCCAACAATCTTGTTGAGAAAAAAAATTCACAATTCTCCATGATCAGCAAGCGCACAGACTGCTATGCACACGAAACGACACGACTTTCAGACGACAAGCAAAAAATGCATCTTGTCTGGATGTCGTGTCGTTTTGTGTGCATAGCCATCTATGCATAGCTGCCTATGGGCTTGTCGGTAGCGTCGAATGGTGATCATTTTTGGGAATGATCGCATTGCGGCAGGATTGCGACAACCACTTTTGATAAGTCCCAAGACATGAGAGATTATCATTTAGTGGTCAAAAGTTTTGGAAAAATTTTGTTGCGGACACAGCGGGCCGAAAACAAAAAACGTCAAAATTTTGATTTTGACAAGGGTCACTTTCAGCGCCCCTAGCGGAATTTTGGGTGTTGAAATTGATAAAATTTTGGTACCAAATTAAAGTCTGATAATCACAAAAACAATCTGCGTTGAAAAAACTTCAAAAACATTAACCAAAAATTTTTGAGGAAAAAATGAAAAATGTTATACAAAAATACGACAATACTTTCCGAATCACCTAATA